TGAATTTTTTTCCAACGATTTCACACTTGGGCCACATATGTTGACTTATAAATACGTACAACCTTATGAGCTTAAAATTTTGCTATCATATAAGGTATTACGAATAATCTCGTCCATTGACTATATTGATATGAGATTAAAAGGAATTTTCTCACATTTAATGTAACTAAATTCACCAGTGGTCATATATATCAATATAATCAAATGATATAAATCAATCATGGATGTGTAGTATAAAAATTATATGTAACATGATCTAACTAGTCCTATTTTAAATTTTATTAAAATCAAACTTTAAAACAATAAGATAGAATAACAATAAACTGAATACTTTATTTTTGCAAAAAATATCCAAATACATAAAATATGTCCATAATATAAAACAAAGCAATAAAATACACACAAATAAACTCCCATTAGACTAAAATATCCTCAAATGATATAAAACCCAATGAGTAATGTGTTCATAAAAGACTTTCGGTGTTAATCCCTTAGTAAGTGGATCCGCAATCATGGAGTTTATTCCAATATGCACTATAAAAATCTATCCACTCTGTACCCTTTTTTAAACAACTATAAATTTTATGTCAATATGTTTTGACCGAGTTGAGCTCTTAATATTGTTGGAATATTGAACTATTGAGTTATTGTCACAATATAACTTTAGTGGTTTTTCAATACCACTTAATATGCACAACCTAGTGATAAAATTTTGCAACAATAACCAATGGTTGGATGTTTCATAACATGCTATAAATTCAGCTACCATGTTGGAAGAAACTATAAGTGTTTATTCAACATTTTTCTGAGAAATAATTCATCCAGCCAACTTATAAATGTCGCTTAAAGTGGATCTCCTACTATCTTGACATCCAGTATAGTCAGAATCCCAATACCTAATGATACTCTAAATTATCTAACATCTTGTATATGAGCATGTAACTCTTAGTTTTCAATAAGTATCTCATAACCCTTTTGGCTACTTTCCAGTGATCCATCCAATGGTTACTTAAATATCTGTTTAGCATTCCAACAATGAATGCTATGTCTGGATGTGTGCAAATATGAACATACATTAAACTCTCAACTGTCGAAACATAGGAAATCTTTTGTATTTTTTTAATTTTAAAGTCATTTTTAGGGCACTGATTGAGACTGAATTTATCTCCCTTAACGATAGGGGTATCTCTTGATTTACAATCTTACTACCATACATTTTAAGAACTTTTTTATATAACTCCTTTGAGACAATCCAAGAATACCTCGATAGTGATCATGATGTATCTGACTTTCTAAAACAAAAGAAGTATCACTAATATCTTTCATATCAAACTTCTTTAATAGAAATTTCTTGGTCTTGTGCGATATTTCCTTATCACTGATAGTAAGGAGTATGTCGTTAATATACAAAACCATAAATACATACTTCTACTGAACTTATGATAAACACATTCTTCAACAATATTTATCTCAAAACCAAATGAGACAACTACTTGATGAAATTTGTAGTGTCATTAATGAGAAGTCTATTTGAGTTCATAAATGAATATTTTCAATTTGCAAACCATTTTCTTTACATCATCAACATATAAAACCATAAATATATACCTATTCCCATTGAACTTATGATAAACACAATCTTCGATAAGATTTATCTCAAAACTAAATGAGACAACTATTTGATAAAACTTATGGTTTCACTGATAACAAACTTATTTGAGTACATAAATAATTTTTTTTTAATTTACAAACCATTTTCTATGGGTCACCAGATACAAAGTTTTCTGGTTGTACCATATAGATTGTTTTATTAATGTCACCATTGGGAAGCACTGTCTTAACACCCATATGATATAATTTAAGATTAAAATATGCAACAAGAATCATGATTGTCCTAAAAGAGTATTTCGATAAAATTGGAGAGAAAGTCTCTTTCTAATCAATGTCTTTCTTTTAAGTAAAGCCTTTAGCTTCAAGATGAGTCTTATATCTTTTCACATTACCTTTTGAATTTCTCTTGATCTTGAATACCCATTTTTAACCAATGAGTTTCTTACCAGCGGGAAATGAGATAAGATCTCAAACTTGATTGTCTTATATAGACTGATACTCCTCATTTGTTACATTGATCCCTTTTTAGAGTTAGATTTCTGCATGGCTTGATAAAAATTGATTGGATCATTTTTCACTATTGTATCAGCATTCTTATATTCTTGGAGAAATATTGCATAGTCATCCAGAATAACATTTCTCATCTCTTTCGTAGATCTTCTTAGTGACATTTTCTCTTAAGGTTGTTGAGTTTGTTGTCCATGAATAATCACTTCAACTTGAATAGAGAGTTATTCAATGTTGTTTTTTATTGGTTCCATATCTATTTTTTTTAGCATTGACAGGTATTGGAAACTTTATATTATCAGAAGTAGTAGTAGGGATCGAAACTAATTATTCCTCAAAAATAATATTTCTAATCTTATTTCTCCCCCTAAACATAACATTTTTAAAAATATTGTAGTTCATGTTTCAAAAATTATTTTTGTTATGAGATCATAAAATTTGTAGCCCCTAGATTGCTTTGATTAACCAATAAAGTAGTTATTTATTGTTTTCGAGTCTAATTTCTTTTCATATAGTCTATAAGGTCTAGTCTCATATGGACATCCCCAAATATAAAGGTGTTTCAAACTAGGCTTTCAGTATGTCCAAAATTCATAAGGTGATTTGACAGCTGCTTTAGTTGATACTCTATTAAGGGTATAAGCTGTTGTCTTTAGTGTTTCTCCTCAAAGTGATTCTGGTAAGGTAGAATGACTAATCATGCTCCTTACTATATACTTAAAATTCTTGTTTCATCGCTCAGCCACATTCCTTTAGGAAGTTAGCAAATGACCCTGTATGTTGTTCTATTGAACCATCATATTTGTCATAGTACTGATCACCACGGTAATATCTAAGACACTTTATTTTCTTACTTAATTAGTTTTTAACTTCAGTTTTAAAAATTTTGAACATGTCCAATGACTGACTTTTTATGAATAAGATATAAGTATTCATAATGTGAGTAATCGTTTATAAATGATATAAAATATCATTGAGCATTCCAAGAAGCCGAAGGAAATGGGCCATAGATATCTGTATGTATCAATTCTAAGACGCGTGAGGATCTATTGACACCTAATCTCTTTTGTTTGGTTTGCTTTACTTTGATGCACTACAAACATCTTAGTCTGAAACATCAAGTGAATTTAAGATACCTTCGGACACAAGTTGTTTAATTTTAGATTTGGTTATGCAAACACTTGTGTCATAACTGTGATGAATTATCGTTATTTAGCTTAGGTTTAGTACCATGTGAATTCACATGCAAGGTTTCATTATATGATACAATAGTATCAAATAAATATAGGTTGTCAAATGTACTTCATCAACCGTACCAACTCTGTTATAATTGAATGAAATAGTATATT